AAGTCATATGTGTACCAGGTTTGGTTGAAATTGCTCGAGGTGTTCCAGAGTTACGCTGGAACATGCGCACGCGCGCACACACACACACACACACACAGAGCCATTGATGGATAGATAGTTAGTGAGCCCAACTAACCACATTCCTACATTTGAGAGTGCCCCAAAGGTGCTTTTTCAGGAGGCAACTGGACTTTCTGTTTTTTTTTCTTTTGAAGACATTTTGCTTCTCATCCAAGAAGCTTCACAATGCACAATGCATTACCACCATCACCAGAAAGGATAGTTGACTTCTGAACTGGAGACTTTATGTCCTAGTATGGATGGGTTGAAATTTAGGTGGCTCCACTGTTGTTAACATCTGCTGTCCTCTCTTATTTGAATTTGAATGTTTACAAATTAACAACTGATTTTATATGTTAACTGGTTTATAGTATTATTGTACACCACATCACTTTTTTTGTGGCTGATCCTAACTCCTCCAACAAGATATTCCAATCCAGGCTTATCTTCAGATTTCAGACTATGCAAAGCAGCTCTGTGTGGTTCATGCCCTACGTTTTATCCCAACTTCAACAAACCATACTGTTGTCTCATGTTCCTTATTCACTGCATCAAAAAGTATCCAAAGCAATAACGTCTATGTTTGAACGCCACAGTAATTAAGTTTGTAAACAATTATGTTTGCTGGTAAATTACATTTTACAGCTAATCTAGCCATAAAAGCCAACAGCCCATTGATAAAGCTAATGCTTGAAAGGAAAATTGAAAAGGCACACATAGCTTTACACGTCAGCAAGAGATTAAAAAAACTTTACAGCTTCACTTGATTAGCATTTCCCAAGGGATGTTGGAGCATGCGACCACCCAACACAACTTTTCCAGAATTCAAATATTTTCCGTAAAAGTAGATTTAAGATCCCATTGGTATGATATAGTTCCCAATCTTACCCTATTCAGCATTTCAACATCTACATTTCCCCTCTATTATTCTCTCCAACCTCTTGACGAACTCTCCGAAATGTGTCCATTCATTTTGCTACAGGATATCTCACTCTTAATGTATTCAAAATTACTGTATTGCATTTTTTTCTTATGCATGTCTGTATATCACCCAGATTGACATCATAGATCAACTATATATATATATTTAAAAAATATGCATGCTCCTAATTCTTATTATTTATTGTTGAATTTGTATAAATTCCCAAATGGAATATTTTCAGTATCTGACTAATAGTAACATGTTGAATGATGGCTGCATAGATCTACATTCCTTAAGAACCACAGGAGTAATAGAATGAGAAAAGTGACAAATAAATTAACTCTCCCCTTATGTCTTTTTTTAACCGAAGGAAATAATTTGCTATTTTCAATGGGAAAGCAGCCATAGAAAGATTAATTCTATACCAACAGCAGATATATACATGATAATGAGAGTTAATATTTGCAGAAATGTTTGAGGAAACGCTAATCGGTGCATAATTCTCCTAATCAAAGATCTATAAATGACACTGAAATTTAAACAGGATGTGTAGGTTTATACCATTTGATGCAGAAATACTGCTCTAAAGCAGGGGTCTCCAACTTGTGGGCCATGGCCCATGGTGCATTTCCAGCCATGGTCTACTGGCGACTGGGCCGCATGAGTGGCTGGCCAGTGTGTGCACACATCCCCCCTCATGCTAGCATCATGCATACGCTCACGGCCTCGTTCGCGCATGTGCATGCCCATATAAAGGCTAGAGGCACCACGTTCCACCACCACCACCTCACTCTGTTCTTCATTTCTGCATTTCCTTAACGGATCAATTAGTGTTAACAGTCTAAAGGATGCAAAGGAGTAAGCAAACAAGAAATGTGACATTTAATTCACAAAGTTCCTTCAATTGTAACAGCTAAGGCGAAGCGCCCATCGACCTGAGTGACGTTGAGTTGGCCACGCCCACTCAGTCACATGACCACTGAGCCNTTTTGTCATTACGTGCATGGGGGCTTATTGGTTTTTGTACTGGGATTTTACCTTTATAAGCCCCCCCCCCCCAAAAAAAATATCCAATGTGAATGAGTTGGACAGCCATACACATTTTCTTAATAAATAAATATAAAAAAGACAGCATTGCTGAGCCAGCATGCTTAGTAGATCTAACCTCTGATCGGACTTGAAGGTCTTCAGATGTTCACTTATGTGGCTATGTTTACTCGGGCTGATAGGGGTTGAATTCCAAAACCCATCACCAACCCATCACCCATTCATTCCAGAATCGGATCATATTTATACATTTTCCAAGCATGCCTCTGTTGTGTCGTATGTTCTTTTTAAACATTAACGGGAGAAAGGGGAAAAACATGACGATGTTGCCCACTTGTGTAAAACTGCAGGGCGTTGGATATTCCTCTGCTTGGCGGAATAAAAGAAATATGGGGTTTTTTTTTGAACCTGGGAATTTAAACTTGTCTTCATCTTTTTGTTCTAGATCCCACCCAATGATCCTACAAAAAAGCAGTTTCAGTGCATCCCCTTTACCCGGGCAGCTCCTGCGTGCAACGGTGGCTATGCTATTCGCAACCAGATCAATGCACTCACATCCTTTGTTGATGCCAGTATGGTATATGCCAGTGAAGACGTGTGGGCAAGGCAGCTACGGAATTTGACAAGCAACCTAGGACTGCTGTCTGTGAATAACAGGTTCAAAGATCGAGGCCTTGACCTTCTCCCCTTTGGCACTCCCCAAGGCTTTCCGGAAAATTGCAATATAACAAATAGAACCGCCGGAATCCCCTGTTTTTTGGCAGGTAAGTTATTTGAAAGGTGCACCGTTTCTTTGGGGCTGCTCTTGCAAACTGAAATCACACCTAGTGAAAGGGATAGCAGGAAGAGATAAAAGGAATAGATGGCTGCAGCAAAGATGATTAGGGGACTAATATATAAAGAAAGGTTGCTGGAATTGTTCAGTTTAATGAAAAGAAGGACTAGGGATGACATGATAGCAGTGTGCCAGTATCTCAGGGGCTGCCACAAAGAAAAGGGTGTCAATCTAGTCTCCAAAGCACATGAGTAGAAGCAACAGATGGAAATTAATCAAAGAGAAAACCAACCTAAGCTACCATATTTTTCGGAGTGTAAGACACTCCGAAGTATAAAACACACCTAGCTTTTGGGGAGGAAAACAAGGGGAAAATATCTGCTTCTGCCTCCCAGTAATTTGCCTCCTTGCAACAAACAGCAAACAGTACAGACAATTGACACTGTTCGTAGTGTTACATTTCAGACTATACTTGTACAGAGGCTGTTAAAAGTGACGTGGCTTTCTGGAAGTATACGTTATTCTCTGTTATTTAAAAGACGATATAATAGCACTGGGCCTCTTCAGATCAAGCATTAATTTTAAAAAGCTTCCTCA